TGAGATCGCCCAACTAACCTATCCAGCATTTGGTCAATGAATAGTAGGGGAAAATGGTCCTTCCGGGTGGCTGTGTTCAATTTTCAGTTATCCATGCAAATCCGCCATCCCGTGACTGTACGACTCAAGATCAACTCGTTATTCTCATTTTGTACGACGGTCATTCCTCCCTTTTTCGGCACACACTGAACAGGGCTGACCCAATTGCTGTCTGAGATAGGGAAGATGATACTCGCATCTAACCATTTGATCACTTCCTTCTTCACCACCTCTTTCATATTTGGGTTCACCCTTCGTTGATGTTCTCTGGAAGGTTTGTGCCATTCTTCCAAGAGAATCTTGTTCATACAAAAAGCTGGGCTGATACCCTTTATGTCTGCCATGGTCCAACCAATGGCAGTCTTACATTCCTGTAGCACCTGTAAAAGTTGCTCTACCTGCACATCTAGCAAACCGGATGATATAATAACAGGTAAAGTAGAATCAGGACCTAAGAAAACATACCTGAGGTGAGCTGGGAGCGGTTTCAGCTCCAAATTGGGTGGTTCCTCTACTGATGGTTTTGCCGGTGGTGTAGCCCTCTTTTCTAACTCAAGGGACTCGAACTGAGGTTCCCTCTTCCAGAATCCTTGGCCTTCGAGTGCCATGACCTACTCTGCCAACCCTTCACCATCCATCTCCTCTAAATTTGTCAAGCATGCCCCCAATGGATCTTTAGCAGTCAGGGTCTCATCATCTTCGTGCAGGATCACATCCACTGCCTCTACTAGGGAGCAATTAGCATATTCACTGGGTCTCCTCATGGATTGCTGAACATTGAATATGACTTCTTCATCGTTCAACCTCATTTTTAATTTTGCAGTTTCACAATCGATCAGTGCTCTCCCAGTGGCTAATAATGGCCTCCCTAAAATGATAGGTATCTCTTCATCTACTTGGCAATCCAGAATAACAATGTCTGCAGGGAATACAAACTTCCCCACTTGTATCAACACATCATCAAGAATCCTTGTCGGCCTTTTAACCGTGCAGTCAGCTAGTTGCAAAAGCATCAAAGTCGGTCTAGCTCTGCCAATGCCCAGTTAGGTATATATAGCCAGCGACATCAAGTTTATGTTGGCTCCTAAGTCACATAATGCCTTTGCAAAGGCATAACTCCCAATAGTGCATAGAATAGTAAAACTACCTGGGTCAGACATCTTTTGAGTCATGGGTCTTGTCACTACTAGACTGTAGGTCTCTGTCAGAGTTACTGTGGATAGGTCCTGAAAATCAAACTTTTGTGACATTAGGTCCTTCATCATCTTTGCATTGCCTGGCATCTCCCTCAAAGCGTCCATCAGAGGAATATTCAATTGAATTTGACGCAACATCTCCATGAATTTCCTGTATTGATCTTCCTTCTTTTGTTTTGCCAGTCTCTGAGGGAATGGTGCAGGTATCACCCTTTGTGCACTGTTTGCTGGCTTCTCTCTGTTGGGGTTCTGTGGCACAGGAGGTACCACCTGTTCTGCAGCTTGTTCACTCACTTTAGCTTTACCCTTATCATCCTGAACCTGTTCAACCACCACTTCAGTAAGTTCTGCTGATTCATCTACCTATAATAGAACTGGAGTGGCTGGCGTAGTCTCTTTGCTGGATTGTGCAACTTCTTGCTCCCTGTCTAAATCTTTCCCATTCCGGAGATTTACTGCCATCAGCTGATTTGGGTTTTGCTCCTTGGGGTTAATGTTCGTGTCTGCTGGCAATGTTCCCTGGGGGCGGTTGTTTAAGGCCATAGACAACTGCCCCAATTGAGTTTCAATGTTCTTTATCGCTGAGTCATGCACTGCCAACTTTGCCTGCATCTTACCATTTATTCCAATGAGTTGTTGAAGCATACCCCTGATCTCTACCATGTTGTTATCTTGTTGCTGAGGAGGTGGCTGATATGCCAACTGTTGCTGGTTCTGCTGTGGATAGCCTGTTGTCTCTGATATGCCACCACTTGGCCTTGGGGCTGCATACCCCCAGGTTGTGGCATGTTTGGTCTATACTGCTGATTTGGTGCCGGTCTCCACTGCTGTCCTCCTTGTTTATAACCCCCAAAAGTTGTTGCATAATTCATATCCTCTCTTAACCCTTGGTTGTCGCCTTCTCCACTCCATGAACACACATAAGACTGATTAACGCAGGGTGTACACAGTCCTCCATTTGTTGTATCAACAATATGCACTTGCTTTGTACCTATCTCATCAATCTTCTTTGTCAATATACTCATCTGAGTCATGAGTGTGGCTATGTTCTCTACATGCGAATTATTTGGGTCAAGAGGAACTGAATGCACTATTGGTGCCAGTGTTGTACCTCTCGTCATCCACCCTGAATTCTAGGACATCTTGTCAAGAAGTATTTTGCACTCGGTGAATGTCTTACTCAAAAATGCACCCCCAGCTGAAGCATCTACATTTGCCTTTAGATTGTCAGCTAACCCCATGTAGAATCTCTGGCCGAGCATCTGGTCCGGGATACCATGGTGGGGACATTTCACTAGCATCCCTTTGAATCTTTCCCAAGTTTCCTACAAGGTCTCAGTAGGTTGCTGCTTGTACTGCAATATTTCATCAATCTGCCTTGCAGTCTTGTTGGGCGGGTAAAACTCATTCAGGAACTGCTTGACTAATTCCTCCCAGGTGACAATGGAATTTATTGGGAGCGAATTCAGCCAAGTCTGAGCTTCCCCGGTCACAGAGAACGGGAACAGTAACAGATTGATAGCTTCTGGGGTCACATTTGGCTGCCTTTGGGTCACACAAATCGACAGAAAAATTTTCAAGTGTTGTTGAGGGTCTTCAATGTGTGACCCGGAGAACAATCCCTTATTCTGCAGAAGATGCAGCATGTTGTTGGTGATCTGAAATGTCTCCGCTTATATTGGGGGCACAACAATGGCAGTGGCCAGGTTGTCAGCTATCGGTTGTACCCAATCATAAAGTGCAGCTTCTGGCACAAGAGGTGCCACCACTCTGACGTTTGGATCAGCTGGCTCATTCCTGATGTTTCCGTTGACGTTATCTACGTCACCCATGTCAATTTCAAGTTGGCGTGGTTGTTGTGATTGTCGGTTCTTCTTGTTGGCACAGTTCAATGCCCTGATTGTTTTCTCGGGGTCTGAGAGTCCTTCAAGCAGTTCTCCAGTCCTCGAAGAATTTCTAGTCATACACTTGAATCCCACAAGAGTTCAAACGTGAGAATTTCAATGAAAAAAAAATTTGTTTAACACCTTCGAAAATTGGTCTAAACTAATAATTCTAGCACCTACTTCTAAGTTGTAATAAATAACACCGTTTGTCCCCCGGCAACGACGCCAAAATTTGATCACGCCCAACTATGTCTTCTAAAAGACAAAGCGGTCGTTGCAAATATAATCCGGTTTTAAGTCCGGAGTCGAATCCTCGGGGAACTAACCTATCTATTACAACTCTTGGCAATGCTATTATCAACCCAAACAATTTCCAGATGCAAAATTTTTATCAATAAAAGGTTGGGTTTTTTGTTTAACTACTTCAAATGATATTAAAAATAAAAATATGCTAAATCAAAGATAATTCAATGGTAAAAAAGGTCTAGGGTATTGATTTCCCCAATTGCTAGTTTAAGTCTTAACTCTTTTGCTATAATCTCGCCGTAATACTCTATGAGGATTATGAGCTATGGGTTATCATAATTATCTCTAACCCCACTTTTAAATTCAAGTAATGAATCTCTTCAATTACCCAAAAGTAGTGTTGTTCAACAGCAGTCTAACCTAGTATTCTTTCTCAAGCAACACAACGCAATTAAACACGATTAATCAAGGGCCCATTCAATTAATCACCATACAAAACGTAGTTGAACAATCATATAATAAACCCGGCTCGAATATAACAAAGTTGAACCAAAACTTCATCCAACCATTGGTTCCATCAACCCTAGATCAAATGTTTAGCTACTCATAACAAAGCAAGATAAAACTACAAAATTGTTCATAATGTGTAATTGCAAGAATTAAAAGGAGATAGAAAAACTCTAATGTTTGGTTTATCTTCTCACACCTGTTATTGCCTCCAAAGTAGTCTAAAACCCAGCTTTCCCCTTTCTTGGGCGAGCTTCTTGAGTTTATAAGGGTTTGGAATAAGTTTTCCCCGAGTTACACTTTGGTCCCAAAAGTCTGGGCAATTGCACAGTTCACCGCGGCCGCGGCGCGACCGTGATGAGAGCATAACATTCTGCCTGCGTTTTGTGGCCTGCCGCGGTCCACCGTGGTTGCGATGGATTCAAATCCAGTCCCGTTTTTGCTTCTTTCCGCTCGGGTGCTTCTTGCTTGGATGTTTTCTTCACATTATTGACTCCAAAACACTCCATAGTTCTTCCTAACTTGGATTAGTCCTTGCGAAGTAAAAGAACACCAATTAGAGCATTTTGTTATAATTTAGCCTATAAAACAACAATAAAGCATGGTATAATTAGGGTGTAAATATCGTCTATGTAGCCTATTATCATCTTTCATGGATGGTTCATCTGGATATAATCTAATTTGCATGGCACCGAAGGACGAAGAACTTACTGCCTTTCGCACCCTTAAAGATATATACTGGTACAAGGTAATGCCTTTCGGTTTGAAGAATGCTGGTGCTACATATCAACGTGCCATGCAAAATATTTTTGATGACATGCTTCATAAAAATGTGGAGTGTTATGTTGACGACTTGGTAGTAAAGTCAAGGAAGAAAGATGATCACTTGCAAGATTTGAAGATGGTATTTAAACGGCTTTCGAGATACCAACTCAGAATGAATCCGTTGAAGTGCGCTTTTGGAGTTACTTCTGGGAAGTTCCTCGGTTTTATTGTTCAACATCGAGGTATCGAAATTGATTAAGCTAAGGTGGATGCTATCTTGAAAATGCCCAAGCCTAAAGATATTCATGAATTAAAAAGCTTGCAGGGTAAGTTGGCATATCTTAGAAGATTTATTTCGAATATGGCTGGAAGATGCCAACCATTTAGTCACGTCATGAAGAAAGGGGTTCCTTTTGAATGGGACCAAGCTTTCAAAAATGCTTTTGAAAGCATTAAGTCTTATCTGATGAAATCTCCAGTACTGGCAACCCCCATACTTGGAAAGCCATTAATATTATACATTTCAGCACAGGAAAGGTCAGTAGGAGCGCTTCTCACTCAAGGAAACAATGAAGGCAGAGAAAATGTGCTTTATTACTTGAGTAGGATGATGACGCCAAATGAGCTCAAGTATTCGCCTATTGAGAAGTTATGTTTGGCACTTGTCTTCTCTATTCAAAAGATGAAGCATTACTTCCAAGCTCACGTTGTGCTACTCGTCTCAAGAGCAAACCCTATCAAGTTTATCATCTCTAAACCAGTCCTAAGTGATCGATTAGCGAGGTGGTACCTCCAGTTTCAACAATTTGAAATTGTGTATGTTCCTCAAAAGGCAGTAAAAGGACAAGCATTAGCAGACTTCCTAGCTGACCATCCGATTCCAAATAATTGGGAGTTGTCTGATGAATTGAATGATGAAGATGCAATGGTCATAGAAATTCAGCCTCCTTGGAAGATGTACTTTGATGGCGTTGCACATCGTGAAGGAGCTGGCACTGGAATAGTGTTTATCACTTCTCAAGGAGAAGTTTTGACCTATTCTTTCACTCAGACACAACGGTGCTCCAATAATGTTGTTGAATATCAAGCGCTCATACTTGGGCTTGAAATGGCTGTGGATATCAAACAATTGCAATTACAAGTTTTTGGAGATTCCAAGTTAGTGATCAATCAAATTTTGGGTAGCTATGAGGTCAAGAAGCCAGAGTTGGTGCCATATCACAAATATGCTCAAAGATTGGTAAGTTGGCTTGGAGAGGTAACTATTAAACACGTGCAGAGAAAGGAAAATAAGAGAGCTGATGCATTAGCAGCCTTAGCTTCTACATTATCTTTGCCTGATCAGACACAAGTCGTTGTTTGCCAAAGATGGGTAGTTCCTCCACCAAATGACTATGAGGAAGAAGAAAGCGAAGTTGAGCATATTGCTTCCGTTCTTGAGGTTGAAATTGAAGACTGGCGACAACCATTAATAGATTATCTTTGTTACGGTATATTGCCAGAAAATCCTCGAAGGAAAACGAAAATCCGAAGGATACCCCCTCGTTTTCTTTATTACAAGAATACACTCTACAGACGATCATTTGATGGAGTGCTCCTACGTTGTTTGGGGACTGACGAATCCCTTCAAGCCTTGCAAGAAGCACACTCTGGAGTATGTGGTGAGCATCAATCTGGGCCAAAACTTCATTTCCACATAAAAAGAATGGGGTATTATTAGCCAACCATGGTGAAAGATTGTTTGGATTATGCTCGGAGGTGTAAAGCTTGCCAATTCCATGCTAACTTCATACATCAACCACCTGAAGTATTACACCCAACTGTTGCTTCTTGGCCATTTGATGCTTGGGGTTTGGATGTTGTTGGTCCATTGCCAAAGGCTTCTGGTGGACATCTATACATTTTGGCCGCAACTGATTACTTCTCGAAGTGGGCTGAAGCTGTTTCTCTTAAAGAAGGAAAATGTGGCTAACTTCATCCGAGTCAATATTATCTATCGATTTGGCATTCCGCGATATATATTGACAGACAATGTTAATCCATTTGATAACATGTTGATGAATAAAATATGTGATCTTTTTGGCTTCAAGCAACGCAATTCCTCCATGTATTATGCTGCTGCCAATGGACTTGTTGAAGCATTCAACAAGACACTCTGCAACTTGTTGAAAAAGGTTGTTTCTAAGTCTAAGAGAGATTGGCATGAAAGGATGGAAGAAGCTCTTTGGGCATACAGGACCACATATCGCACACCAACGCAAGCGACTCCTTATTCACTTGTTTATGGAGTTGAAGCAGTCCTTCCACTTGAGCGTCAAATCCCATCGCTGCGGCTTGCCATTCAAGAAGGACTCACTGATGAAGAAAATGCTCGGTTACGCCTTGAAGAATTGGAAGCTCTTGATGAAAAGAGAATAGAAGCTCAACAAAGCCTTGAATGTTATCAAGCTCGCTTGTCTCGATCTTTTAACAAAATAGTACGCCTTATATCTTTCCAAGTGGGTGACCAAGTTCTTGTAGTCAAAAGGCCTATTATTACCTCTCGTCGATCTGGGGGCAAAATTCTCTTCTAAGTAGGATGGACCATATATCGTACAAGAGGTATACTCAAGTGGCGCTTACAAGATAGTTGACTCGGAAGGTTTGTGGATTGGCCCCATCAACGGGAAATTCATGAAGAGATACTATCCTTGAAGAAAAAAAATACGCTCCTCGACGCACGAGCATAAACTGCATGTTACTCTTGGCCCGCAAGAGTATAAACTGTGCACGGTCCAAAAAAAAAAATCTGCTAGGTTGAAAACCTCGAAAGAGGTGGCTTAGGCAAAAGTTAGGACATCCAAAAAAAAGACCGCTAGGTTGAAAGCCTCGAAAGAGGCGGCCTAGGCAAAAGTTAGGACGCAAAAAAAAAAACTCACCCATTTCGAACTACAGAATGACTTGATCCTCTTCACCGAGGTACGTAGGCAGTTTAGAGTTTCATTCTAAGTTCAGTCATTTGAGTTCAAAAATATATATTACCCAAGGCATTATTCAAATGAGGTACGATGGAGTATAATTCACTTGATTGACACTTGAAAATTAGGTGGACATGTATTCCTTCGTTGAACTCTCTGTCTTATCTTGATGGGTCAATGGGAGCAACCCCTCCATGTCAAATTGAGGTCTTCGATGGAATGATTGTAGTTTCTTTAATAAGAGGCTAAATATTCAAGTTGAAAGTTCCAATTCTAAGTCAAGTTGATTTTGTCAAGTCTATCACATCATCAATTTGAAGTATTCAAGCCCGCTAGGTCTTAAAATTGCAGTATTCAAGTGCACCAAGTCATCAAATCCATAAAGTACTAAAAACAAAGAAGCTCACTCGTTATAAACTGCAGAATGACTTGATCCTCTTCACCGAGATTGGTATCTTCAAGACAATTATAGTCTTTAGCAGGCTGGAAAGTTTTCAAGACTGTCATGTCTTTTAGCTGAATTTTTCAAGTTGCCAAGTTGAATTCTTCATATTTTCTATATCATTGATTTGAAGTCTCTGCATGCTAAATCTTCAAGTTGAAGTTGAGTTAAATTCTTCTAGTCCGTTAAGTCTTCAACTATCCAAGTCTGCCACGTCTTCAAGTTGAATTCTTCAAAGTGGCTACATATTCAAGTTTAGCTCTTATACTTTAACCTTAAAGTTTAATCATCAAGTTAAAATCTTCAAATCCACTAAGTCTTCAAGTAAAAGACTTCAAATCTGTCAAGTCTTCAAGTAGAAGCCTACAAGTCTATCATGTCTTCAAGTTGAAATGTAAAAAAAGATTCTTCGATTGTGAGGTTATCTTTACTAAAGTAGTATCTTTGAAATTATTTTTTTTTCTACCTGCAAAAAAAACGAGAAACATATCTATATAAAGGAGATTATAAAATTACCTGTGAAGGTTGAAGATGAAGAGATATTCTTGGTGGTCAGCTTTTTGAAAAAAATAAATCATGCTTCATACAATCTTTGATTCATGTATCTCGAAATGAAGACGATTTTTCATTCCTTTGCGCCAAAAGATCAAATCTTTTGGTGGTGAAGTAAAATCTTCAACTTAGACTGTATAATGGACTTTGCTGGTCTTCGTCTTGGGCAAAATATAGTCTTCAGCGTAGACGGTGTAATGGTATTTTATCCTCGGACAAAGTAAAGTCTTCAGCCTAGAGGGTTGTCTTCGCCTAGGACAAAGTATAGTCTTCAGCTTAGACGGTGTAATGGTCTTAGCCTCGGACAAAGTAAAGTCTTCAGCTTGGATAGTTGTCTTCGCCTTTGCGAAATAAATCTTTGGCTTAGACGGTGTAATGATATTTGTCTCAGATAAAAAGTAAAGTCTTTGGCTTATATAATGGTCTTTGCCATAGATAAAGAAAGTCAAGTTTTCAAACAAAATGAAGTATTTTGCTTAGACGGTGTAATGGTCTATGACTCAAATAAAGTGAAGTCAAATCTTCAAACAAAATAGAGTCTTCAACTTAGACGGTGTAATGGACTTCGCTTCAAATAAAATGAAGTCTTTAGCTCAGACGGTGTAATGGTCTCGCTTTAGACAAAATAAATCTTTGGCTCAGACGGTGTAATGATCTTTGCCTCAGATAAAAGTAAAATCTTTGGCTTAGACATTGTAATGATCTTTGCCGTAGATAAAGAAAGTCAAGTTTTCAAATAAAATGAAGTCTTTGGCTTAGACGGTGTAACGGTCTATGACTCAAATAAAGTGAAGTCAAATCTTCAAACAAAATAGAGTCTTCAGCTTAGACGGTGTAATGGTCTTTGCTTCAAATAAAATAAAGTCTTTAGCTCAGACGGTGTAATGGTCTTCGCTTTAGACAAAATAAATCTTTGGTTCAGACGGTGTAATAATCTTTGCCTCGGATAAAAGTAAAATCTTTGGCTTAGACAGTGTAATGATCTTTGCCATAGATAAAGAAAGTCAAATTTTCAAATAAAATAAATTCTTTGGGTTAGACGGTATAATGGTCTATGCCACAGATAAAGTGAAGTCAATTCTTCAAACAAAATAGAGTCTCCAGCTTAGACGGTGTAATGGTCTTCACTTCAGACAAAGTAAGATCTTTAGCTTAGACGGTGTAATGGTCTTCACCTAGGATAAAGTTAATTTTTGGCTCAGACGGGGTAACGGTTTTCGCCTCACATAAAGTCAAGTCAAATTTTCAGGCAAAATAGAATCTTTGGCTTAGACGGTGTAATAGTCTTTGCCTCAGATAAAGTAAAATTTTGGCTTAGACGGTGTAATCGCCTTCGCTTAAAAAAAAAATTCATTTGAAACGGTGTAAAGTTTTTGCCTTGTTCAAATAATGCTTTCGTCTTGTATGAAGTAATTGTTTTTGCCAACATGAGTAAAATCTCGGGTGGGTAAATTTTAATCGCTTCATATTTGCTACTTCTTTTGAACTTTACGGGTGAAAAAAAAAAGGATGACACAATGAAATACAAGCTAAAGAAAAAGATAGAAGTTACCGGTCAAAAGAGATAGTAACTTCTAAAATACTTCCTTTACTACTGCAAAAAAAAAAAGCAGAGTAAAAAAAAGTACAAAAATAAATGATTTTATTCATGAAAGGTTATTTCATGTTAAAACAAAGCAAAAAAAAAATAAAATAAAATAAAACTCTTCAGAATAGCTAATTCTTCTGGAGCACCACGTTCTCAATATGAGTTTAGAAGAAAATTGATTACGCGACATTTGATTATGTGGGAGGAAGTCCAAAGCTAAGGCAACCAAACCAATTAAGTACTTTCATTATCTTTCAACACCTTACGGGTTACTACAGCTATTGTCGCAAAGCTAGACGTACATATGCAACACAAAGATTAAAGGCTTGGCTTGATTACAATATCCAAAGCAGTAACCAATAAAGGCAAAAGAGTTAGTCAAACACATGGGAGTTAGATGCTTACTAAAGGATCATTCACACAGAGTTCTACGGATACTGATCTAGACTACAATTAATGTCGTTTATAATGGAACTGATCTTTCATTATCTTGCACTACATACTGGTTTGATTCTTTAATCACAGGAAGACAAAAAAAAATGGATCTTATGGGGAAAAAAAGAGCCAATAAAAGGAGGAAAGATCAATTAAAAGAAGATTTCAATGTTATCAATAGAAAGTTGTCAAGGATCGTCTCTGTGAGTATTACAGTAAGCATTTAAATTTTGTTGGATTTAAATAATTTGGACCATATTAAATTCAAGACATTAGTCCAAACAAATGGCTAGTAAATTGGGCTACTTATTTAAATCAAATATATGTGTTGGGCTATCCATTTAATTGGACTACGGATTAAATGATAAGTCCACTTCATTAGTCCAAGGTACAAATGGCTATTAGCCCTTTCTTAAAGCTCAGGCTCATGCCACGTGTCTAGTGATGTGGCAATCCAAGTCAAAAGAACAAGCCAATAATATCATGCGGCGTGTCAAGTGACGTGGCAATCCAAGCCAAATAAGTGAGCCAATAAAATCATGTTATGTGTCAAGTGATATGGCAATCCAAAACAAATAAATGAGCCAATGAAATCATGCCATGTATCAAGTAATGTGGCAATCCAAGTCAAAAATCATGCCAAGTGTCTGGATGGTATGGGTCAGTTCAAACGGACCAATCAAATCGCAGAGCAACATCACTCCCTACAACTATAAATAGAGGTCTTCATAAAGCTAGAAGACACC